ACATCATTGTGACAATCAGGGAAATCTGAGTGGGGATCTTTGGATTAGAAAATAGTATGCTATCAATGTTAATGTCCTGATTTTGATGGGATGTTTGTGGTTATGTAAGGAATGTTCTTATTTTAAGGAGATACACATTGAGGTATTTAGAGGTAATGGAACATCACAGCTTTGTGAGTAAATTTCAAATGCTCAAGAAAAAATAGTATGTGTACATAAATATATATAGAGAGAGAAAGATAGAAAATATGGTGGAATAATAACAACTGGTGAATCTGAGGAAAGGTATTTAGGATTTCTATATCCTATCCTTGAAACTGAGAATTTTCAGTAAATTTAAAATTATTTCAAAGTAAAAATTAACCCCCCCAAAAGTATATGATAAAATTCAGCACCAACAAAAATAAACAAATAATACATATATGAAGAAAGAGAGAAAGAGAGGCAAAAACATAAAAGGAGAAGGGGAGAAAGAGAAAGAGGTATAATTTGAGACATTTTTCTTTGCTTATGTGCATAGAAGTTTTGTGGCTATTTTTAAAAAATGAGATCACATTATACAAACTCTTCTGCAACTTGCTTCTTTCAGTTAATATACATCTTAGAGACCTTTCCACATCAGTAGAGGTATATCTAAATCAGTCTTTTAATTGTTGCATAGAATTGCTTTATTTTTATATTTTTTCAATTTTAAACCAAATCCCCACTTGACAATATTTAAGTTGCTACCTAATATTCATTAAACCATCTATTTTCTTTGTTAATTTTTACTACTAGGTAAGATCATGTACTTAAAGTCAGCATGGGAATGACTTCATGTCATAGGAGGAAAATATCCCCAGACTTGGGTTACTGAAGTGTTCCAAAGTAATAATAAGTTCAAGGTAAAGTTTATGCCAATGAACAAAATCATTAAGACCTTTCAATGGGGCCTGAATTTTCCATGTGCCAATTGGCAGTGCAACTAGCAAATTTTCAAGGTGTCTTATTGCTTTCTAACAGTCTATTCTCTTTTAAAATTCTATTTTGTTTTAATTTAGGAGGACTCTTTGTAAGCCTACTTAGGAATGAACATTGCAATTTCTTTTCTTCTCCCACAACTGTGAATGCTTTACAAAAGGCATGCTCATGTGAAATTATTCAGGCATATTCATAATCAGCAACAGCATAGTCAGAGGAAACCATTTTGTCTGCTGTGTTTGTTGCTAAAGAAGAGTTTCTCCCTTGATAAACTCCTTGGGGATAACCAAGTTCATGCATACATGTCCTTATCCTGTAATTAAAGGGGGGAAATGGCAGAGGCATCCATGAAGGAACATAAGTTCCCCAAGCAGACGGGACTGGGTCAGAGGTAACTACAGTGCCATCACCCTGCAGACATCCCAGGGAAATGGTGAGCACAGTAGGAGCAGGGCTTTGGCTAGGGCAAGCACCCAAAGCCTCGGACATTTCTCTTGCAAAACTGACCCCCCAGTTACCTGGGAATCACTAGAAATACAAGGCATGATTTATGTGTATGCACAAGGTAAGCTTGTTTGTGGTTATTTTTGTGAGGCTTTTGAGTTTATACATTGAGGCCAATAAAGCTAAAAGAAAGGATATCCTAGGAGTCCTTCCTGCCTGTTTCCAATTTCTTAGGAAGTGACACACTCCTCAAAGAGCCAAGATCTTAGGAATGAAAAGTTTATAAACGCCACTGTCCCAATCATCCCTCAACTCAAACTGCACGTGATGGTCACTTTAAAAACATTAAATCATCAAATCATCATCATCCTGACAGCTGGAGGGGAAAGCATTTGAGTGATTATTTAAAGCTTTTAAGCGGCTTTTCTTTTTTAATGTAGTATTTACTCATGAAGGCTTACGTTTAAAATTAAGGCACATGTAGGCTTTTAACCACAGCACATCTATAGATACTCCTTGACCTTCCCAAGCACTATATATATATATATATATATATATATATATATATATATATATATATTTCCCCTCCCTCCAGAAAGGAAATATGTAATTTACAGTGTGTTCCAATAAGTATAAGTTAGGTGAAAATAATTGATACTACTATGAAAACAGGAAAAGAAGGTCAACCCCTACATTTTTTAACAATTTAAACAACTGAAAAGCAATTCCTCAAAATAGAACAATAGAGTATGACATTATGTTATCTTTTTGCCTCATAGAAAAAGAAAAATACATGGGAAAATTACTGACAGTCACTAGTTCAAATAAAGCACAACTCACAAAGTGCTTCATTTCAGATTGCTGAGTTTCAAGAGTTTTAATAGGCATTCTAGAGACATGTGCTGATCAATAAATTTCCCAGGCGTTTCCAGAGAACTGACAGATGTGGCTGCAATAAAAAGATCCATGAACATATTCGTCATACTTGTTGGACAAGACAGCTGACCTCAATTCTCCTGCATCTCACATGACACAATAACTTCAGGGAGGCACGTAGAATTAAAGAATGCTCCAGAAACATTGAGTCATCTCAAATAAGAGAGCCCACTACTGATCACAGATGCCATTCGAGGACACATTATATTCATTATTTATCTAATGCCAATCACCTGAGGTCATTTTTATTGGACTGTTTTTTTCAATCCCTTTAAAAACCGAGAGGCACAAGGTGTGAATATGCTGGCTTCCCCAAATCACTTTGAAGTCCTAGTTTCCAAACCATCAACCTCTCTCACCCCTGAATTTCTCAGCCTAAAAATTACATCCGGTCCAGAAGTCAGGTGACCTGAATTCACTTCTGGGCCTTAATATCGCCTCTGCCTCACTTCTTCATCTATAAAGTGGACAGTACTCACCAAGCCTCCATGTGGAATGCTGTGACAATAAATGAAATCTCTAAAGGTGCCAATCAGATTAAACTAATATCTATCAAGGTATCTACCCTGAGATAGGCACATTTTACTTATAGTTTTTCCATTTAATCTTCATAATAACTCAATTAGGTAAGCATTGTTAGCTACATTCTAAGATGAAAAACCGAGGGACAAAAAGTTGAATGACTCTTCTCAGATAGCACAATTATTCACAGGCAGACCTAGGACTCAAATTCCAATTGAGCGCTCTTGCTGTCTTATTATTTATGCTTCTATCTTTATATATTATGAATCTTATTACAGTAATAAGATTTTCCAATAGAATGAAACTTTTGACAACTACCAATAAGCTATATTATAGAAAGCAAAGAGGACTGCAAAGGTCATTTGCAAGTGGGTCTCAACCAGGCTTTTGAGCAATTACAGCCTAAGGTCAAGGTGCTGTGACTGAACTTTCTGGGGAGGCAAAAATATACACATATGAATATAATCTGGAAAGGAGAAAACTCCAGACTCCTTTCTGAAAGAAACAAAGAATATATTAATTTAGGACTGAGGATGAACAGAGATATATAAGAAGTAAATATTTGGCTGATGGTGGAAGACTGACTCAGAAATGAGGAGAGCCCCTAAATTCCTGGGATACACACACGTTCTTAGATAATATATATATCAGGTGAGCAAGTTCACTGCCTGCTAAAAATTGCACAGCCCGAGATCCCTCAGAACGTATTTAAACCTGCCTTGTCACTAAGGCGCCAACATTTGATCTGTTCTTTCCAAAATAGGTTTTAAAAAATTCAAAAGGAAAAAGGGCAAGAGCCCTGTAAACAACAGCTTCTGTGGTTCCTGTGAACACTGCAGCTATAGTGAATATCAAACAGTTGGTGGCAAAGGCTGAACAGACTTTCGGGCTGATGAGAGAAAAGTCTCCAGGGCAGTGGTTGCAGAAAAGAGGAGCAGCTTCTCCTTTCTGCTGCTTGGTTATCGTGACCTGAAGAGGAGAAACCACAGCTGGCCCACCTTTTTGAAAGGAAGACAGCTTGGTGAGCATGTTTCCTTGGTGGGTATTTGTTGCTTACCCTGCACTATGCTCTAGGAGGGCATATGGCCAAAGCAAGAAGTGAGACACACACAGTCCTAATTTTCTGAGGCCCCCAGCTGCTTTTCAACTCCTTTCTAGGAGAAAGAAGTTCTGTCTGTGGGACACCAGTCCATGGGAGACAGAGGTTCTATCAAAAAAGGACCAAAGTCTTAGTTAAATGAATAATAACACCAAAATTGGAGTCCCCGCAAAATTACTGTGCTGCAGTCTCTCATCCAAGATTCAGAAATCCAAAAGCTCTGAAAATAGAAGTTTCTTATTTGTAATTCATTTGACAAGCAAAGCCTGACCCGACTTCTTCTGTTGACAAAACCAGATGTGGATTTATGGGAGGGTGTAACAGGGTGCTGCCCCGAGCTCCTCGGGGTTGGTGAAATCTTTACTAGATGCACCATAGTATCTTTCCACAATCTGAAAACAAAATTATGAATTGAATTCCAAGAATTCATGGCTCCAAGTGTTTTGGCTATGGACTGTGGACCTCTATTCCACGTCCTTATGTGTTCTTTTTCTTTCTTTCTTTTGTTCTAAATGCAGGTTAATCCATCTCTTACACAGTATAATTCAACTAATTCATAGTATCTTAATAAGCAGGTATATGTTCACAGGAAACCCACAACTTGACAGACCAGGTTGCAAGGTCAACCACCAAACCGTGGAAGAGCCAAACTGCACAGGCTGAGCTTTGCGCACCAAGGAAACAGCACCACCGGCAGGGAGCTGAGAGAACTCGGTGTGTGGAGAGCTCCCAGGACAGCTGCAAGGGGCAATCACCGCTGAAGCTTTAGAAATACTGCCTTTTTTCCTTTAAAATATGAATAAATTTTTAATTTTTTATTGTTGCTCAATACTGCCTTAAAACTGACCCACTTCACTGATAGCTAACAACCTTATCTCTGTCAACTACCACATTTAAAAGTTTAATTTATCAGTCTCACACATTAAAATTTTAATTTAAATCTTGGTGAGCTTTAGAAATTCAACACCATGGGTGCCTGCACAATCCCAAATTCGCAAAATTTTGTCAGTGAAAAGCAAACAGAAGACATAATAATACATACTACTCATTTTATTTTTTATTTCTCTCTTGGTGGAATTATTTTACTTCAAGCACACTGTGAAAGAGTGGGCACCTGACAATCACTTCTTCCAAATGACAAGCAGTGGATAAACTTGGACATCTTGCTTAGAAAAGTCACTTATCTAGAGCTGCTCAAACCCATGGATGTGGGGGCCTCTGGATCACAAAATGCTCTGCTGTTTTTGAGGGATCTGATAGTCAAATATTTTCTTGTCTTATTTGCCAAGCCAGTTTGTTCTAAATTTAACACTCTTCAGTAGACTGCAGATATCTACACTCAGATATAAAGAACTACAACTTTTAAGCTGTGCTCTAAATGTTATATCTAGTTTCCCATGTGTATTTAGGAAGCAGAGTGAAGGGTCATCTGGTTGGAATTTCAGAAATCTAGAGTAAATCAGGGATAATGTCTGCCCCAGACCACTACTGATTCAATGAAAGTTTCAGCCCAGAACTTTGTCCCTTCTGTCAGAATGTCTGACTTCTAAATCATGTGTGCTTATGAATTTGGGGTTAAAATACAACAAAAAAGCATACACACACATGCACATATGAGAAAGAGGGAGAAAGATATAAAGTGGAAATGAAATAGAAAAACAGTAGCTACTTCTTGACAAACCAAAAATGAAGAAAAGATCTAACTGCTTACATATACAAAAGAAGCAAATAGCAAGGAGGGGAACAAGTTATTTAGGGTATGGCAACCAGAAATTACAACTAAGATTCATGGGAAGGAAAAATTGGTGCTATGTAACAGAGGTAACTTGTGGCCAAAAACTATTTCTCCCTTCTTCCTGATGTGGGGCGGCGGGGAGGGGGGTAACAATGGACCCAACCAAAGGATGTTATTTCCCAAACTCCCTTGCAGCTACATTCGGTATGTTATTAAGTTCTGGTCAGTGACATACAGGCAGAATGTTGAGTGGGATACTGAATTTTTGGTGGGTGGGGATGAATGGGAGGAGGAAAGGGAAAGAGGGTAGGGAGGCTCCCCTAAAGTGGCTGGCTCAGTTCAGGGGCAGGTTTTTTAATGCCTTCTTCCTTCTGGAACAAAGAATTCCAGCAGCCAACTGGACCATAGGTAAGAATGGAACCCACCACTAGGATATGAAGGAAAAAGAAGAGAGTCCCTAATAAGTTTGTGGGACTGCCATATTTACTCTGGACTGGCTACCTCTGGAATTCTTTTACTTGAAAGAATCAATGTTTGTGGTATATTGTTGTTTGTTTTTTGTTGTTATAGTTATATTCAGCTCTATCATAAACCTAACTGATTGGGACAGGCAGAAGGAAAAAAATCAATCACAGGACCCACGACTCAGGACCTTGCTACTCAAAGTGTGGTCCGTGGAAGTGCAGGCTGGACATCACTTGGGGCTTGGTAATGCAGAGGCTCAGGTCCCTCCCAGACCTACTGATTCCAGATCCACATTTTAACAAGATCCTGGGTGATTTGTATGCACAGTTTAGAAGTTTAAGTAGCTCTGACTTAGAGTAAATGCCCTTTGGAAAACCAGACTAAATATCATGAATTTCAATGACCTGCTGGGTAGTGTTCTTATTGCCTAGATTTATATTCTGAAAAAAAAAAAAACATACTGAGAAAATGACCTGATTTTGAGGTTAGACATCAAACATACTATTTTCAAATGACAACTTTCTCAACGGTTCAAAGTGCACTAAAGAAAAACAAGCATAAGTTTATAAAAGGCAAAACAAACAAATATAAAAACCTAAATTTAGGCATTTTAAAGATACCATTCATTATTAAGTAGGGTGCTTGACACATAATGACAAAGCTGCCAAAATCCAAAACCAATAACCCTTTTGGCTATTTATTACACCAAAGCTTTTTTATTCTCATTTTAAAGTTACTAACCACTAATTCTCTTACAAATCTGGTTACATTCCCAACTACTCAACTGAAATTTTGTTTGCATGGGTGGCATTTTAAAAATTACAATAACACTTCCAACGTATACTTTCAGTCTGGAAAATTTCCCCTCCACTCCCCAAAAGGACACCTAGTCAATAATTGCAATTCTCTGAATACATAAGAAGTTTTTAATCAATTAATTTTTGTTAATTTTCAAATAATTTTTCTACAGCAGCATTTTAGATATAATTTACATACAATACCCAGATCTTCATTGTACTAACAGATAAGTTTGACATTACTCACCTGTGTAACCACCATCAAGATATAGGAGGTCCCATCACCCCCAGAAAGTGCCCTCGAGCTTTCATTCCCGTTTCCACTTGCCATGCAGAGGCAGCCACTTCTACAGTGTGGTCTTATTTGTATTTGGCCAGAAAATGGAGCCAAAAATGATTTTACAGTTGAAAGCTGATAAGGCAGCACTAGGAACCGTAAAATTCCATGTTGTCTGTCTGAGCCCTTAATGTGTGTTAATCTTCTATCAAAAACATATCTACTGTGTGATAGAAAGGCATGCAAAAAACCTTGAGCTTTGTTCACTTAGCATTGTGAGTATTGATACAATTTGTTAAAACATTGGCTATACTTGAGTGGATTCTTCATCTATTTTCTTTAAGTATGTTTAAATAGGTTTTAAACAGGTTTTCTTCTTGTGGAAGACACTAGTTTCGAGTAGTACCTTCTGCTCTCCCATTTCTGATACCAAAAAGAGCTAGAAAGTAGAGTGATTTGCAGTTGAAAACACAGTTTACTTTAAAATAAAAAACACTTTTGATCAAGCCGCTCCTAAGGTTTTATGCCAGGAGTTAATACGCCAAACATTGTTCCTTTTGTCCTAATCCAATCTATTTAATGAAGTATTAGTGCAAAAGGGGGACCTGTGAGCACTCTCCTTTTTGGAATCAGTTTACTCAATCCATTTTTCAGTAGTTCACTTTTCCCAGTTTTAGGAGGTAGCCAATGATCATTTACCCAGTCCTTACAAGAAAATTATGAGAAAGGCACTTGTAAGTTTTGGTACAGTGAAAATGTAAGATATCACTAATGTTAACAGTTTTACTTACAAACCTAAGCAACCAGTACCAAAGTGTACTATCAAAACAAAATATATGAGATCACGCACAGTGCAATGCCCAGCTACCCTTAACCAACACGCCCATATCCTAGACAGTCATTCTGTGTCTAATTACAGTCCCTGATGCACCAGCGTCAGAGGGTCAGAGCTCTGGTTTCCGGTGCGTTGCTGCGTACTTGGGCGCCAGTTCTTTGATCAGATTCACGAAGTCGGCTTTCTCCGCGCATGCGCGGCACTCTTCTCCCCAGCTGTACAGTATCTGTTTCAGCTCTGCCACTCTCATCTTCCACAGGTCTACCGATGCTAAGTCTAACTTCTTTTCTAAATGACAAAAAGGAAACACACAACTCTTTAAAAACAGCAACTCTGAAACATTGAGAAAGGCAAATGATGTTACTTATCTTGGAGCTGAGAACTGTTCCATTTTCTATGGAAACTAACACATACCTAAGGAAAGTGTATATATACAAAGCTATTGGGACAAGTTGTGTTCTATCAGACTTTCTCTCCATGGGATTATACATGCTTCAAAACATGGGTTCAAAGCCGTATAGCTTTGCAGTATCTGCTACCATGGCTTCACAAGATCAGCATTTCTAAAATGAAGAGCACCACCTTCTAAAAGCCGCTCCTAAGGTAAGAGCATGATCAGTAGAAAGGAATGCCTTGGGACAGCCTTGTGTATGGCCAACAGGAATCCATAGATTATACTTAACTAGAAAGTTATGGCTCACTTGTTATATACAAAGATATGTCTTCAGTAAAACAGCTAAGCATATATATTACACCGCACCATCGAGTCTTTAAATGCAAATTTGAAGAAACCTAAACATGTGAATATAATCAGAAGCATTCTTATTGATCCTTATTGGTTTTGAATCTCTGCTTAACTTCACCTGTTCCCCACCCCTCCTGGGATTACTAACTTAGTACAGCATTCACTACAGTCCTTTGGGGTATATATACCCAGTTCTCTAATGCTAGCACTTCAGTCCCAGTCCATCTGGCTTCTGCCATTCTTGCCAATAACACTTGTCACCAACTTTTAACTCCTTTACCAAGACTACTGTTTTCCCATTTACAAATTATCTGCAGAGAATGTCAATAACTCAACTACTTCTCTATTGTCCAGCCCAAAACAAAATAAAAAAAACAAATTAAGCTCATCTGTGCCATACTTATGGTTATAATTTCCCTGTCAAATGGGGTAGTTTTCCTTAAATTTATATAATGTTTTAAGTAATTTACCTCAATAACTCTAGAAAACAATTAATAAAAGTTGGATTTTAAAACCTTGTTTACTTGGAGAATCAGCTACCCTTACATTTTTATAGTGATATCCATCCTTTTCAGATACAGAACAAGCAAAAGTATTTTTTCAGGTCAAAAACTAAAAGACAACTTCCTCATTGAAAATATAATCCAACTCTATAGTTATCTTGATTGTTAATTTCATGGCTGACTTAACACAATACCTGTAAAAGCAGAAGCATTTATAGTCCAAATTATTATTACCCCACAGTTCAAAAACCCATGTTCAATCTCAAGTTCCTTGCCAATAATAAGCAGGGAACAAGACATTGGGATAGTGGTCTATTCAAACTAAACAGTTGAATGAGGAATACACTTCATTGACAGTGTCAGTAGTTTCTTTGAGCTCTTCTAAAGAATTTAGAATCCGGCATTAGTTCTAAAAAGGGGAAACCTCTGTGACCCTCTAAAACTACAAGGAAAAGGTTGATACCAAAATTAAAACCAGTTCATGGCTCCCCAAGGGCCTCTAGTGGCCAGTATTGCCCAAACACTAGTAAATATTCATTTCTTAATAAAATCTGATGAATATATCTATTATCAAAGAACCCAGTAAGTTCTGTTGCACATAATAGAAGATATTCTAAATAACTGTTGAACTAAAGAATCAGCACAGGTTTGTCCCTTTCAAGAATATTGTTTATATGGACTCAGCGATTCCTGCCTCTCCTGTGTTACTTGGAAGCCAATAAAAAGGGATGCCTGTCCCATAATCACTACCCTGGAAGCGGGGGCCTGCCCTTGGCAAGTTCAGAAGCAGGTTGTTTTGAGTATCTTCCAACCTTAAACCTATTTAAAGTCAGTTAGGTAACGATGGTGCATAACGATTCTACACAGCTATGTTAGAAAATAAAATTAAAATAATTCAGTCCGGGTGCTAATTAGGTAGTTTACAATACTACAGTGGATTTGGGTATGTAACATAAAGCAATTACTTGAGCAAAAGAAATGGGTCTGTACTGGTGGAACTTCAGGTGCTAAGGATAAGCTAAGAAAGGAACGCCCCCCCTCCACCCCCCACCCCGCCAAAAGCCTTTACCGTACCTACTCAATCTACCCGAAAGGCTGGCCCAGGTAGAAATCCTCAGTATAAAAATAATAGATTTATCTATCTATGTGAAATACATAAGGCCAAGGATAATGATTTAAGTAGGGCATCTTTCTATCCTGGCTGTTTATTTTAGGTACTCTCAAAAAGGCTATTTCATTAGGCAAAACCTGATTTGCTACAAATAACCTATTTCCTAAAATTTAAAGCTGGCAGGCAAAATAATAGACAGACAAATCTAGGGGAAAAGATACAGACACATTTAAAACTTCTGAGTCCTTTCATCACCTTGGAATAAATGCAACTTCTTTTAATGGGTTACTGAGAGCTAAATCCCTGTGAGTAGTTGTTCCCTTGATACTTTGAATATTCCTTGATGTACACAGTCAACACTGGCTTGGTGGTTTAAGAGTTTAAACTTTTCTATCTGGGTTGACAGTTTTACCTAAAGTTGATTGTGCTGGTATTCATTTCTCTCACCCCCAAAAGGTCAGATAGCATTAAGTACCATTCAGTAGCCCAACAACCTAGTGGCAACTGGAGAATTCCTTCCCTTCTAACACTGACTTTCTAGAAACATAGCCTGTTTTGAGAATTGGCGATACTTCAGACATTATGGAAAAAAAGACATTGAACTCCATTATACCATATTTCAGCTCACAGATTTGGCTGTCCATCTTCCTGAGCTTCTCACAAATCTTCATTGCAGGCATGTGCACACTCATTGGGCGGGTGACCTCACTTAGGATCTTTGTGGCTGCATCTTTGGTTGCTCCTAGATAATAGCACTGAAGGAGAATGAAGAGAATTTAGTGGCTCAGACACTGAGAAAAGCAAGTGATGTGGTTTTCAGAAGTAAGAAAGAGGTTAACCTAGTTTTCATGGGCCAGCTATTAAATTTTAAGCACTGCTAAGACACCAGAAAACAAGTGACTCCATTCCCATGAGAATTCTAATTAGAAGTTCCTGACAGTTCATACAATTTTCCAAGGCTTGCTGGGTGTTCCCTGTGCCAGGCGCTGCTCTCAGGGCTCTACAGGTATTGACTTATTGTCACAACAATCCTGTGAAGTAAGTACTATTACATTTTATTCCCAAGCCAACTGCAGGTCACCAGCTAGCAAGGACAAGAGATTGAATTTTATTTTATTTTATTTTTTAAACTTTATTTTTATTGTTGACACTATTACAGAAGTCCCCAGCATAATTTACCCACCTCCTAACCACCACCCGCTTTCCCTCGTGCTCTCACCATACTGTTGCCTGTGTCTAGGTGTTATATACCATATACATGCTTTTCTGACTAACCCCTTCATCTTCTGTCATTCAGCCCCATTACCCACCTCCCCTCTGACACTGTCAGTGTGTTCCACGTATCCATGCCTCTGTTCTATTTTGTTCAGAAGTTTATTCTGTTTGTTAGATTCCACATATAAGTGAGATTATATGGTATCTGTCTTTCTCTGACTGGCTTATTTCACTTAGCATAATGCTCTCTAATTCCATCCATACTGTCACACAAGGTAAGATTTCCTTCCTTTTTTACAGCCACATCATATTCCATTGTGCAAATGTACCACAGCTTTTTTATCCACTCATCTACTGATGGGTACTTGGGCTGGTTCCAGATCTTGGCTAATGTAAATAAGGCTGTAATGAACATAGGGGGTGCATATATTCTTTCGAATTAGTGTTTTGGGATTCTTAAGATATATTCCCAGAAGTGGGACCACTGTGTCAAAACACAGTTCCAGCCCTGACTGGTGTGACTGAGTTGGTTGAGCATTATCCTGAATAGGGAAAGGTCACCCATTCAATTACAGGTCAGGGCATATACCAAGGTTGTGAGTTTGGTTCCTGGTCTGGGTGTGTACATGTATGAGAGGTAACCAACGGATGTTTCTCTCATACATCAATGTTTCTCTCCTTCCCTTCCCCTCTCCTTTCCCGCTCTATAAAAATAAATAAATAAAATCTTTTTTTTTATTGCTGTTCAATTACAGTTGTCCCAAGTTTTCCCGGTCGCTCTCCCCTACTCCATCCATTCCCCCTCCCCTGCTCCCACAGTCAATCCCTACCCCATCACCCTTGTTTTGGGGTTCTTTATATGGTGTTCCTTGACTTGACCCTTCCCCTTCCTTCCCCTATTACTCCTTCCCCTTCTCCTCTGTTTACTGTCAGTTTGCTCTTTATTTTCATGTCTCTGGTTTTATTTTGCTCACTTGTTTGTTTTGTTGATTAGTTCCACTTATAGGTGAGATCATATAGTATTTGTCTTTCAGCTAGCCTATGTCTTTTGGTTGGAGCATTTAATCTGTTTACATTTTAGGTTATTATTGATAGGTACTAATTTATTGACATTTTTTCTTTATATCTAGGTTCCTCTCAATTTCTATTTCTTCTTTTTAAAGCAGCCCCTTTAACATTTCTTGCAATACTGGTTTGGTGATGACAAGTTCTGTAAGCCTTTTTTTTGGTGGGGTGGGGGCGTCTGGGAAGGTCTTTAGTTTTAAATGATAGCCTGTCTGGATTATATAGCCTTGGTTGTAGATCCTTGCTTTTCACTTTAAATATTTCATGCCAACCTCTTCTGGCCTGAAGTGTTTCTGTTGAGAAATCAGCGGACAGCCTTACAGGAACTCTCCTTTAGGTAACTGTCTCTCTCTTACTGCATTTAAGATCCTCTCTTGCCCTGGCTGGCATAGCTCAGTGGATTGAGCGTGGACTGCGAACCAAAGGGTCACTGGTTTGATTCCCAGTCAGGGCACATGCCTGGGTTGCAGGCCAAGTCCCCAGTGGGGGCCATGTGAGAGGCAACCACATATTGATTCTCTCTTTTTCTTTCTCCCTCCCTTCCCCTCTCTAAAAATAAATAAATAAAATATTAAAAAAAGATTCTCTCTTTGTCTTTAACTTTTGTCATGTTAATTATAATGTGTCTCGGTGTGGATCTCTTTAAATTCCTCTTGATCAGGACTCTCTGTGCTTTCTGAACTTGTGTAGCTTTTTCCTTCACCAATTTAGGAAAGTTTTTAGCCCTTATTTCTTCAACTATGTTCTTGGTCCCTGTTCTCTTTTCTCCTTCTGGTACCTCTATGGTGCAGACATTGTTACACTTGATGATGTCCCAGAGATCCCTTAGACCTCCCTCATTTTTTACATTTTCTTTTCTTTTTGATGCACAGCTTGGGTGCCTGCTCTTAGTTTGTCCTCTAAATCGCTGATTCCATCCTCTGCTTCACCTAACCCACTGTCAATTTCTTCTAGTGCATTCTTAATTTCAGATATCGTTTTCTCCATTTCTGACTGGTTCTTTTTTATAGTTTCTACATCCTTTTTAACATTTACTATCTCTTTGTTTAAGTTCTCACTGAGATCATCCATTTTTCCCCTAAGGTTCTTGAGCATCTTTATGACAATTGTTTTAAACTCTGCACCTGGAATATTAGTTGCTTCCATTTCATTTAATTCTTTTTCTGGGGATTCCACTTGTCCCTTCATTTGGGGCATGTTTTTTTTGTCTTCCCATTTTATTTCTGTGTATTAGGTAAATCTATTCTAACTCCCAAGTTTGTTATGATGGCTTTATGATGAAGGTGTCTCGATGGCCTCAGTGGCACACTCTTCCAAATCACCTGAGCTCCATGCTCCAGGAAGATTTCTTGGAAGTTATGCGTACCCTGGTGGAGTTGAGTCTTGAATGCTGTTGGCCTTTTCATGGGTTGAGTTAACCCTTCAGGCTGGCTGACTGTAAGGGTAAACCTTGATCACCATGCATGAGAGGCCATGCAGATGCCGTCCCCCCCAAGGCAGAATTGTTCCCAGTAGGGCTCTGTGCCTGCTGGAATCCCCCTTTGTGCGTGCTGCTAGTGTGGTTAGTTGGGTTGAGTTCTGGTGTGGTCTGAGGCCCACCACTGGTTGTGTTGGTTCTGGATCCATTTATTCAGGGTTCAGATACTGGTTGATGCCAGACACTATGTGTGACTGACCTCGAGCTACCTGTCTGGAGCTATCATGCCATTCACTGTTTGTGGCTGCTTCTACCAGACCTGGGTGTGCGAGGGAGGTGCCCATCTGTGTTTTAGGATTCATTTCCTCCAGCTAAGAGCCGAGGGCAGAAGGAGATTGAATTTTAAGAAATCTAGTATTTTGGCTCTATAGTTCAGGCCACTTTTCATGTTATGCTGCTTTTCAAACCACCCAACTTAATCATTTTATATTTACAAATATAAAACTTAACGGTACAAATAAACGCTGAGATTTTTACTGTGTGCCAGTGATGAGATGCCTACAGTGCAAACTTAACTGAAAAGTTAAACATACAATTTTAGGCAAAACAAATTGGCCTAAGACTGTTTTTCATGATGTAAACCAGTATATTGAAAAAGTCATTTGTGTTTACTCAGGAAACACTCTATAAGCATCATTACAAGAAAATAAAAATACTTCATTGGTGATGTATAAACAAGGATATAAAATATTTTGAAAGGTTGAACTAATTGTCTTGGTAAGAAATAGAAAGTCTTTTCATTCTTAACTCAGAACAATAAATTCTCAATTAGACATTCAATTGTGTAATTTTATTTAACAAAATATGAGCTTGATTTTCTGTGGTTTATTCCAAAAGTAAAATGAAAACAGATGTACTCTAGATTAAAAGTCATAGGACTGCATTTCACTGAATGAAAAGTTCCTCCTTGCTCTTATGGTGAGCATGCCTGGGGCCAGCATCTGAGCAGGAGAACAGTTAAGTCCAAGATCAGAAACAATAGTGTCGGCATTTTCCCTCAAGCCCAAAGGTAAAACCAAACATGAAAATTTACCATACCAGGCGGTTTTCTTTTCCTTTGGCGCCCAAGCAAAAGCTGATCAATTCTTTTTCTATGGTGTCCAAAGAAAAGTTAATTCCTCTGGCTATCAATGAGTTGTAGAACCGGTTCAAGAATTCTTCACATACTAGAAGGAATAGAGAAATTACATATTTACATACAAGATAACCACTAGCACACCTGTGTATATGTTCTACTTATCCAATAAAAAGTATAACTATGATTTAACACATCATGACAGTGAATCAAAAATATTTGGAAGAATGATTTAGGGCCTGTAGCTATTAGCTCAGGATTGGGCTTTGAATAATATGAGTTTATAGAATCAATCAATCTCTGGAACCAAGTTCCACCTGAATCAAGAACATTCCTACAAATTTGGCTAGCCCTAAAGAAAGTACAGCTTTCTGTAGGATGTGATGATTGGGACATGTTTTCTTTTTCACATTCAGTACTACTTTGAATAAGTTTCAGGTGTACCACATAGTGACTAGACAATCACATAATTTACAAAGTGGTCCCCTTGATATTTCAAGTATCCACCTAGGACCACACATAGCTATTACAATATTGTTGACTACGTTCCCTTTGCTGTATTTGACACCCTTGTTACTATTTTTAACTACCAATTTGCACTTCTTAATACCTTCACTTCTTTTAAAACCAGACCTGCAGGCCTCCTCCCCACTAGAAACCATCAGTGTGTTCTCTGTACCTATGAGTCTGTTTTTATTTTGTTTGTTCATTTCTTTTGCTCATTAAATTCCACATATAAGTGAAATCATATGGTATTTGTCTTTTTATGATATATTTCACTTAGCATAATACCCTTTAGGTCCATCCATGCTGTTGCAAATAGTAAGATTTCATCCATTTTTATGGCAGAGTATAATAATTCCATTGTATTACATACCACCACTCATGGTATCGATAATCCACTCATGTATCAATGGCCACTTGAGTTGATCTCATATTCTGGGTATTGTAAATAATGCTGCAATGAACATGAGGATGCATGTATTCTCTCAAATTAGTGTTTTGGATTTCTTCAGGTATATACTCAGAAGTGGAATTGCTAAGTCATAAGGCAATTCCATTTTTAATTTTTTGAGGAACCTCCATACGGTCTTCCATAGTGGCTGCACCAGTCTGCATTACCACCAAGAGAGCATTAGGGATTCCTTTTCTCCACATCTTCTCCAACACTTGCTGCTTATTGATTTATTGATGATAGTCATTCTGACAGGTATCAGGTGATAACTCAATGTGGGATAGTTAGCATTTCCCTGATGACTAGTGATGTTGAGCATTTCTTCATATGTCTATTGGCCATCTGTATGTTCCCTTTGGAGAAGTGTCTATTCAGGTCCTCTGACCATTTTTAAATTGAATTGCTTGTTTTTCTGCTGTTGAGTTATATGAGCTGTTTATAAATTTTGAATATTAACCTATTACTAGATGTATCATTGGCAAATGTGTTCTCCTGTTTGGTAGATTGGCTTTTCCTTTTGTCAGCAGTTTCTTTCACTGTGCAAAACCTTTTTAGTTTGACATAGTCCCATTTGTTTATTTTGTTGGTTTGTTTCCTTTGACTGAGGAGATATATCAGAAAAAAATGCTGCTACGAGAGATGTCAGAGAACTTACTGCCTGTTTTCTTCTAGGAGTTTTGTGCTTTCAAGTCTTACATTTAAGTCTTTAACCCATTTTGAGTTTATTCTTGTATGTGGTATAAGAAGGTCATCTAGTTTCATTTATTTGCACATATCTGTCTGATTTTCCTAACACCATTTGTTGAATAGACTGTCTTTACCCCACTGAATGTTCCTGACTCCTTTGTTGATTATACAGGTGTGGGTTTATTTCTGGGCTCTCTATTCTTTTCCATTAATCTATGTGTCTGTTTTAATGGCAGTACCATACTCATTTGACTACTATGGACTTGTAGTATAATTTGATATCAGGTAGCATGATTCCTCCAACTTTGTTTCTCAAGATTGCTGTTGCTATTCAGGGTCTTTTGTGGTTCCAAATAATTTTTTTTAAATATTTGTTCTAGATCTGTGAAATATGAGAGGGTACCATCAAAAACCTCAAATTTATTTATGAAAATTTTTGTATTTATTATTATGTATTTAAACTTCAGTCATCTTCAAAGTATTCTCCATTTAATGCAATATACCTATTGAGATCTTGGTTCCACTGCTTGAAACAGTTTTTGAATGTGTCAATTTTGATGCCTTTTAGTGCTTCTGACATTTTTTGTTTCACCTCTTGCTCAACATTTCTCTTTGAGGACTTTTTTCATTGGGGAAACAAACATAGTCATTCGGGGTGAGATCAGGTGAATAGGGACAGTGGGGCACAGGGGTCATGCCATTTTTGGTCAAAAACTGCTGAACACTCAGTGCAGTGTGGGCAGGTGCACTCATAAATCACCCCTCATGAAATGGGCAAATTTGTTGAAAGAATGTTAAAAAAAAATTCACTGAAGCCAAATTCAGCTTCTCACAACAACCCCAGTTGGTACACTGATACAGATGAGTTCCTAGAATACTCATCTAGTGGAGGAAGCCTGTACTACAAGAGGCCTGCCTGCCCTTGAGAAGATAATTCCAGTTTTGGGGGATACTCCCTCGTATGTCATTGGTATTTTTATAGGCATTGCGCTGAACCTATAGATTGCTTTGGGTAGTATAGACATTTTAACAATGTTAACTCTTCTTATGCATGAGCACAATATCTGCTTCCATTTATTTGTATCTTCTTCAATTTCTTCAATGTCTTATACCTTTCCAAGTACAGGTTTTTTACTTCCTTGGTTTAATTTATTCGTAGGTATTTTATTTTATTTTTTTGATGCAATTGTAAATGGGACTTTTTTTTAGTTTCCTTTTCTGATAGTTCACGATTAGTTTATAAAAATGCAACCAATTTCTGGATATTTATTTTGTATCTGGCTACTTTACTGAATTCATGAATCATTTTTAGTACTTTTTTGGTGGAATCTTTAGGATTCTCTATATACAGTACCAGTCATCTGCAAATAATAACAGTTTTACTTCTTTCTTTCCAGTTTGAATGCCTTTTATTTCTTCTTGTCGTCTCAGTGCTGTGGCTAGGACTTTCAGTACTATGTTAAATAAGAGTGATGAAAGTGGACGACGTCCCTGAGTTGTGCCTGATCGTAAGGGAAATGCTTTTAGTTTTTCCACATTGAGTATAATGTTAGCTGTGAATTTTTTCATATATAGCCTTTATTATGTTAAGATGTATGTTCCCGAGCCCTGGCTGGCATAGCTCAGTGGATTGAGTGCAGGCTGCAAACCAAAGTGTCGCAGGTTCTATTCCCAGTCAGGGTACGTGCCTGGGTTGCAGGCCATGGCCCCCAGCAACCCCACATTGATGTTTCTCTCTCTCTTTCTCCCTCCCTTCCCTCTCTAAAAATAAATAAAATAAAACCGTCAAAAAAAAACTCCAACAAAATTTAAAAAAAGATATATGTTCCCTCCACTCCCACTTTGCTAAGAATTTTTATCATAAATGGGTGTTTTTTCTGAATCAATTGATATGATCATATTATTTTTATCTTTATTTTGTTTATGTGGTATATCATGTAAATTGATTTGCAGATATTGTACACACTTTGCATCCCAGGAATAAATCCCGCTTGATCATGGTGCATGGCCTTTTTAATGTATTGCTAGATTTAGTTTGCTAATATTTTGTTGAGGATTTTTTATATCTGTGTTCATCAGGGATATTGGTCTATAACTTTCTTTCTTTGTAGTGTCTTTACCTGGTTTTGGAATTAGGATAACGCTGACCTCATAAATCTTGGGAGTGTTCCCTCCTCTTGAATTTTTTGAATAGTTTGAGGATAGTTGTTAGTTCATCTTTGAATGTTTGGTAAAATTCACCGTGAAGACATTCATTCCAGGACTTTTGTTTGTTAAAAGTTTTTAGGTTACTGCTTCAATTTCATTAGTTGTAATCAGTCTAGTCAGACATACTGTTTCTTCTTGATTTAGTTTTGGGAGATTGTATGTTTCCAGGAATTTATCGATTTCTTCCAAATTGTCCAATATGTTGGCATATAGTTGTTCATAATATTTTCTTACAATCCTTTGCATTTCTGTGATGTCAGTTGTTACGTTCCCTCTTTTATTTCTCACTTTATTTATTTTGGTCCTCTCTCTTTTTTTCCCTTGTGCGTCTGGTTAAAGGTTTATCAATCTTGTGTATGTTTTTGAAAAACAAGCTCTTGGTTTCCTTGACCTTTTGTATTTTTTTTTAGACTCTATTTTTTAATTTCTGCTCTGATCTTTATTATTTCCTTTCTTCTACTCACTTTGGGTTGTGTTGTTTATCTAGTTCCTTTAAGTGTAAGGTTAGATTGTTTATATGAGATTTTTCTTGTGTCTTGACATAGGCCTATAATGCTATGAATATTTTTAGGACTGCCTTTGCTATATCCCATAGATTTTGGTTTGATGTGTTCTCATTTTCATTTGATTCAAGGTATCTTTTGATTTATTCCTTAATTTCACTGTTATCCCATGTTTAGTAACATGTTATTTAGCCTCCATGTCTTTGTGTGCTTTTCAGTTTTTTTCCTTGCAATGGATTCCTAGTTTCACACCAGTGTGGTCAGAGAAGATGCTCAATATGATTTTAATTTTTTAAAATTTATCGAGACCTGTTTTGTGTCCTAATATGTGGTCTATCCCAGAAAAAATTCCATGTGCACTTGAAAAGTATGTATATTCTTCTGCTTTGGGGTGAAATGCTCTAAAGATAACAATTAAATCCATCTGACCTAGTGTGTCATTTAAGGCCACTGTTTCCTTGCTGATTTTCTGTCTGGAAGATCTAGCCTTTGATGTCGAAGGGGTGTAAATGTCCCCTATTATTACACTCAAGGGACATTTTATTTTAAAGCATGGAGAAAAACCTGAATACGTATTTTGAATGAAGCCCCTTGGTGGTCTGCCTCTGTCTATATGTTCCATCAGCATGAGCCTGACATTAAACTCCAAAATGAACAATTGTATTTGATCCCAGGGTCAAGAGCCAGCGAATAAATGAAGCTCATGAGAGACAAGGGCAACAACAGCCATGTGTTGGG